TTAAGGATCATATTAGCAAAATAATATTTGATATTATTAGAACTTCATTTAATGCTATCATCCTAAGACTTTTGTGGTTAGAAAGATATAATCTATCTATAGATTGGAGGTATCATAAGATTGACTTTCTTATAGAATTTCTTTGGACAAAACGTATCAAGAAGTCATCAACAACAAAACTTTTATTTTTGAAGCAAAGGCTTTTATGAAGATAGCTAAGAAAGAAATATCATTTATTATTTATGCAACTTGAGCTTGTGATGAAGAAAGCTTACTAGTAGCTATTCCAATGTAGTATAAGAAATTTCAAGATGTCTTTAAAAAGAAGAATGTTGACATATTACCAAAGCATTGACCGTATGATTGTGCTATAAATCTTCAAGAAAGGATTCAATCACCATTTGGCCTAATCTACAACCTATTACAAAATGAACTTTTGGCATTGAAGGATTACATCAACAAAAATCTTGCAAAGAATTTTATTCAACATTCCAAATTTCCAGCAAATATATCAATATTTTTTGTCATAAAAAAGATGGATCTTTATAAATGTATATTGATTATTTCAGCCTCAATAAATTAATGATAAAGAATTTTTATCCATTACCATTGATATTGAGGCTTTTAGGGTAACTCGATCAAACTAAGATCTACACCAAAATAGATCTCTGTGGAGTATATAATTTGATGCAGATTAAAAAAAGAGATGAATGGAAGACATCATTTTGGACAAGATATGAAGATTTTGAATATAATGTTATACCTTTTGGATTAACAATTGCTCCAACTATATTCCAATATTTGATGAATGATGTTTTTCAAGAATTCTCAAACAAGTTTATTCTCTATTATCTTAATAATATCTTGATCTACTCTAAGTCTCTTGAAGAACATGAAGAATATATATGATTAAGCTTACAAAAATTACAAGATATAGGATTATATACCAAATTGAAGAAATATATATTCTATCAATAAAAAGTGGAATTTCTTAGATACATTATATCCAATAAAGGCATGTTGATGGATCTAAAGAAAGTTTAAGCTATAATAAAGTAAGAAATTCCAAAGACAATAAAAGATATACAATATTTTTTTGGATTTAGTAATTTTTATTGGATATTTATTAAGAATTATTTCTAAGTTGCTACTCCTCCCACTTGGTTAATATATAAAGATAAATTAGAATAGGGACCTTAAGCACAAAAGGATTTTTAAGATTTGAAGGTACTTTTTATTACAACTTCAATTTTATTACATCTAGATTTCATAAAGGTCTTCTATTTAGAGACCGATGCTTTTGAATTTGCATTAAGAGCTATACTTTCATAGATGGAAAAGAATAGGAAATTCCATCCAATTGTATTTTATTCTAAAAAATTTTTGGTTGCGGAGATCAATTATAAGATTCACGATAAAGAACTTTTTGTAATTATAGATTCTTTCTTAGAATAGCATCACTTGTTGAAAGATTCTATATATCTTGTGATTATATATACAAATCACAAGAATTTAAAGTATTTCATATTAACTCAGATTCAAAATCACCGTCAAGCTCATTGAAGTATGTAATTATTTTATTTTAATTTTGTAATTATATAGCAATTAAAAAAGTAAGAAAGATTATTAGACGCTTCATTAAGGAGATCATCTCTTATTTTAAAGGCTAGAGAAGTAGCATTTGATCAACAATATACTACTCTTTTGAAGCCAGAACAATTTCATTAGGTACATTTGATGCTATCTATATTGTTGTAGATTGACATATAAAGATATATATCATGTTGCCATCAACTACATTTGATGCTATCTACATTGTTGTGGATTGATATATAAAGATGTTACATTTTTTTCCATGTAAAAAAAGAATTTTTGGGGGAAAAAAATGGCAAGGCTCTTTTTTGATAATATATATCGACATTATGGCCTACTTGATGACATCATTTTTTATCAAAGACATCAATTTATATCAAAGTTTTAAGAATATTTTTTTGAAATATTGAAGATGGATATCAAACTTTTCTTTGCCTTTCACCCTCAAACAAATGATCAAACAAAACAAGTCAATGAAGTTTTGGAGCAATATTTGCAATATACTATCAACTATCAATAAGGTAATTTGATCTTGTATTTATTTATAGCAGAGTTTACTTATAATGATATTCTTCATGCTTTGATTCAATAAGTACCATTTTATTTCAATTATAATTACCATCTAAAGCTAAATTTGTTAAATATATCAAAAGATGAAAATCCAGCAACCAAAGATCTTACAAAACAATTGTCATACCTCTAGACAACTTTAAAGCTCCATGTATAAGTAGCTCAAGATTCTTATAAAGCATCTTTAAATAAATTTAGAAAAGAGTCATATAATTTTTAAATTCGAAATAAAGTATGGCTTCTTTGACAAAATATTAAGACCAATTAGGCTTGCTATATGTTGAATTACAAAAGATTGGACCTATTTTGTATTCAAAAGCAAATCAATCTAGTAGCTTATCAATTGGAATTGCTCACATCTATGAAGATATATTTAGTCTTTCATATTTCTCACTTAGAAGCTTATTCAAAATTAACTATTTTAGGAAGAATACAACCATCACTGCCTTGCATTAAAATAGATAATCATGTGAAATATGAGGTGAAAAAAAATCTTTAATTCTTGATGAAGAAGAGACAAGTTAGTATATTCTATTTATCAATGTAGCTATGATATCATTGAGAGCGTCTGGGAATTAATAGAATATCTAATTAATGTCTTGCAAAAGATATAGGAGTTTCATCAATTCTATTCTCAAAAATTTAAACTTATTTTAGGATGATATTTCTATGAACCTACTACAAGGATGTATATATTGAAGAAAGAAGATATGAAACTAATGCTTCTCTTAGAACTTCGAGTTAGAAGAAGAGATGATATTATAGACATTCAACAAAAAAGATTCTAATAATATTTTTTAAATATTCTATTAGATTCTAAAAGATTCTAAAAAATCTTAGAAGATTTTTAAAAGATTCTTATAATATTCTAATAAGTTCTAGAATATTCTAAAAAAATTAAGAAAGTTATTGGAAAAGCTTTCTAAGATTGCTTCACCTTTAAGCAATATAAAAATTTCTTGTAAAGCTTCTTAATACCTAGTATATATAAGAGTGAAGGTTAAGGGAATCTTCGATCTCAACAACACATCTCTTAGAGTTCCAGCTCATTTTCTTAGTGTTGATTTTGTACTCATCTGGTTAAATCAAGTTCTTGTTAGCTTTCATATTGAAACTTTTTAGTTGAGCTTCTTGTTTGGTCTCATATATAGTATATCTGTAATAGTATAAGTCCATAAATCTATACAAAGAGAATGGTTGCCTTCCTCTTAGGTATAAATTATATGTATTGTCTTCTTAGTCAAAATCTCTTATATCATGCACTTAGAAGGATCAAAGATTCTTAAATATATCACAGGTATACATCTATTAAAAAATATAAATTAAATATAATGCTTATAAATCTTAAAGCTTGAATATTAAGATTTTATTTTAAATAATAAATGATATATATTATAGCAATATATATATATATATATATATATATATATATATATATATATAGCTTTGGCATTTAGTTAAAGGTGCACCTATGAATAGTGAAATATCATCTCAAATTAAGTTATTTTTGTTGATGTAACCAACCACTACTTAAGTTATTTAGTTTTTTTTAGAAATTATATTTATAGTAATATATTTTAAAAGAAAATTTTAGATAAAGGTAAAAAAATAAAGATTTTTATTGTATGACTAGTAAACTATTAAATCATGTTACTTAAGAGTTCCACATTCTTTATTTTGTAGCTTAGTTTTTAACTTTTTTATACTTCATGTCTTGTTCATTCCAAAATTTTATTGTTTTATAGATTCTATAATGTTTAGTTATTAGAAGAAAAGCTTTCATTACATCAAAATTGAATTTTAAGAGAATTCAACAAGGTTGCAACAAAGATATCTTTTAATCATGTTGCAAGGTTGCAATATACCAAAATATATTTGAAGAGGGCATTTAAATTAAATAAGTCGTTTTTTATGTAATTACTTAATATTTACAAGGCTTCATACATTAGACTATTTGAGAAAGTAGTTATGTAATGTTTGTAATAAGCTTTATCTTGGTCCCTTCAAACTAAGCTTTACATTCTATTTAACCTTGAGAATACTTTAAAAAATCATAAATTTCTCTAAAATTCATGTGACCAAAATAATTATCATAACTAAAGTAGATTGAGACATGGTTGCTCTAATCATTTTATCCATTGTTGAGAATTTTGTTATTGTAGTCACTTGGTAGTCTATATTAAATAGCCATCAAACCATCCATAGCACATATGTCTTATCAGCTATTGAAACAAAATTATCAAATAGATTTACTCCTTATTGAGTAAAAAAATAAATAGAGATAAAGAAAATTAGAATTGTGTATAATAAATTTTAGCAATATAATCATTATAGAACTAAAATTAAGAACTTGGTGTAAAAGTTAATATCCATTAAATAATCAATTAGTAGAAATAATTTTTATTTTATTAAAAAATATGCTCAACTAATCATTACTTTTGAAGTTGGGAAAAATATATATATATATATATATATATATATATATATTAAAGTCAAGCTTGTGTGGCTATATATGTCTCAATTAATTTTCTCCACTATTTATGTTCTATCTACTTCCTCTGCTAACCAATTATTTATTTTGGTTGTATTCATTTTCGTTGATTTCATATTGACACTATATTATTGATCTTCTATTCTTTTGATTATTTTCCACTTGCTAATTCTCTTCATTTAATACTTGCTAATGATGAGGATATAAACAAAGTACAAAAACAAGTTCTCCCACTGTCTAGCTAGGGTAAAAATATTACTTTTACTTTGAAACCTAGAACATGAACCAATTGTCTTCAAGAAGTTAATGATTTTACACAAATAAGACCCAAGCTCGATGACACAAGTTTTAGCAAGTGTGAAATAACTCAACTCTCTTGTATTAAATTTGTGTTTAAGTGTATCATGACAGTGTGTTTATTTTGATTCCTTCACTAAAATTTGAAATGATATAACAATGCCAGGAAGGTCAGTATTTCGAATCACAACCTGAGCACACATCAGCTCCACAGGTGTGAAAAGGGTACATATTCCCTGCCTCCGGAGTACTGTTCTGAAGCCTGATAGTTTTGCAGGGGCTATGATTCAAAACACTGCAACGATAATGCGTTTTTTACGAGACTCCACGCCACCACAAACTTAGTTCGTCAAAGCCGCAGTCTGAATAGACGTCGACCAATGGGATAAAGCTGTACTATGTCCAGATGGGACTGTATCTTTCAGGCTGCAGCCTGTACAATGGCCTGTGAAAGCCACAGAAAGAAGGAGACTCATCTGCCAGAAGTGACTTCTTCCCCACAACTTCCTCATTTTCCTGGTTGCAACGCGCGCCCACACACAGATATACATACATACATCGAAAATGTCAAAAGCAAGAGACTTGAACGACTACAAATTGATGTAAGTTTTGTTTGTAAGGGTCTTGACAATTTTCACGTCCACATCCGAGCTTTCAAGGTGACAAAACATTGAACACAACTCCGGGTCGGACTTTCAGCACCATGTTTCTGAGAGGGAGGTGAAATCTTCTCACCAAATGAAGCTCCGCTAGTACGTTTCATCAAAGCCACACAAAACAAGCTGGGCACAGGCAGGTTCATGAGCATTAGGAAACGATGGCTGCTTGCTGGGGTCGTTGTCTTGAGGTCTTTACCCCCCACCTCTTCTCTCTCTCGCACACACGCCGTGTGTGCGCATAACTGGGCGGGGGATGATGGATCCAATTTGGCAGATTGTTTTGTACCTGGCTGAAGCCATGATTTCAGTTATTGTCACTTTCGCTGCAAGGAATTCAGGCTTCAGCATTAGTATGTGTGTGTGCCCAGGTCGTCTCCACTGTCATCCCTTAGCAACGTTCGCATCAGCCCCGCAATCTTTCTCCCACACGGACGATTCTGCTCATGTCCCGCTACTGGCGTGTTGTAGACTGCCACTGCGATGCAGTTCCGTAACAAACTTGCAATCCTCCAACCGAGAAAATCGATGGAATAAAGCGAAAGCTTGCCCTGTTTTGCAGTGATGGTAACCCCCTGCACAGGAACCGAGGCAAATCCAGGCCAGAAGATTCTCCCATAGAAACCCAACGCATTGCTTCTTCTGTAGAGCATGCGGCGCCAGCATCTTTCACCTCTCCCTCCATCATCTTGTCAGTGCATTCCTCTCAAATCAGTGCAATGCGACCACGACAACACCGGATGGGTTACTTCATAACGCAGAGGAGCACATGATGTTGAGCAGGGAAGAAGCCATAGATCACCTCTAGTAAAGAGGAGAGGGAGAGAGGCATTGGATCTGTAGGTAGAATCGACTGAGTACGGCAGGAAGGACAATGCAATGTAAGAGAGCAGAGCGAGCGAGAGAGGCAAACAGACAGACAAAATGAGAGAAGCTATAATGAAACTCTTCAGCTCACAAGCTGAAGAGTTTCATTATATCTAATGCTGTGAAGATACAGAAAAAAGATGGATCTTTTCGCAGGGATCTTCTTCTGTAGAGCACTGCGAAACGAAGCATTTGGGATCCCAGCCACGGTGGCCACGTAGCGGCAGAAGTGAAGGTGGTGCCAAGACAGACAGCCATGGAGGGTGATGGAGGCGGTGTCGGCACACCAATTGTTTTGGTCCTGTCAGGCATAACGTGGGCATCGCCTTAGCACCAGCGCTCTCCATGATGGATCATACCCCACAAATCCAGCTCCTCACGGTCTACAACCCAACAAACGCGCTACCCCCATTGCCGCCGGGGCCCACCAGGACGGCCTTCGTGACGACGCCCCTGCCACTCCCAAGCAGTGGGTGAAAGTGTGAGATCCCAGAGTGAGCTAGGGAGGGAGGGAGTGCGTCAGAATTAGGGCTTGGCTCTGTCTCTTCTTCTCTCATTCACCAGCATCCAACTCACACTGGGTCCTCGCTTACTCTCACGAGGATTCCATCCACCACCTACGACATCTTAGTGGCGGTTCCCATGTCTAATTCCTTTGCTTTAGTGATGGGGTTTTCAAGATAGTTTGGATTTGGTTTCTTCCCATGATTTCTTTTTTCTTTTTTCAAAAATATATTAGAAGCATTTTGTTTAACATATTCAACAGAATTGAGAAGATGCTGTTTCTCCTTGCTATTTCCAAGTTGTATGTGTGTGTGTAGAGGATTTGGCATTACTAGCTTGGCCCTAGTAAAAATGTTGACCCTAGTAATAAATGTATTCTTGGCTCAGGATAAGTAACAATATTGTAGTCCATGTCAACACCTAAGTGAACAAGCCGATTCAATCTTCCCAGAATAATGTTTCAACATGTTGATGCTAATAATAAGAATGCCAAAAAGTTCCTTGTCCATATTTTTTATTTTTATTTTTATTTTTCTGTTTTTCAGTAACATAGAGTGAAGCTTTGAGTTTTGAAGAGAAAAGGGAACTGTAGGAAGTGTGTGAGTGTAGTTTTGGAGAGAAAAAAAAAATACAAAAAAATACAAAACAGAACTGCGTAAGGTTTTATTGTTAGCAGTAGTTGGTACTGTTCAAGTTGAAGATGACCACGTCAATTCACTTGGCAAGGTTGGTGTCGCGGACATAGAATGCAAGGCCACCATGCATTCCTCGAAAAAACAATGATTGCAAATCCATTATTTTACTTTATTTTATTCTTCCTGTGCATAATTTATTATCTCATGCTTTGATTCCAAGGATTCTTAGCAATTGCAAAGATGTAGAAAATGACTATTTTATGAATGAAGTTAAACCCAAAAGCTTCACATCACTTCAAGGCAACACATTGTGAACAATTACACTTTTCTATTCTCTATTGACCTTTTATTTATATATGTATAGACATAGATATGTAATAATAATAAGTAGTAATTTTTGGTTTAATTATTATATGAACCATTTCTATCATTTTGATGAACCATTTCTTCTCTTCTTTATCACTTTAACTACTATTCTGAGTGGTACTATTAACGCATTTTACTTTTACTCTTGGTTGCGCCATTTTTGCACTATGATTCATTTCTGTACTGTACATTATCATATATTGGTCATTTTCTTTTACCACATTATACTCGAAGCTACAGAAGGGCTAAACATGCGAGTACATTTTCACAGCACAATGCATAGTGTCATGCAGGAGATGAAAACAAGAACGAATGAGAAACATATTTCATCCTACTCTCCAAGCATTGAAAGCCAGAAAGAAACCGCCCCCATCACCCGAGGCACTCTGCGCTCCCTCAACGTTCGCAAAGCTCCCCAGAGCATTCACACGTTCCCAAAGTTCCCCCCAGACATCACGCATTCCTAAACGTTCCCCTAAACCCAAAAACAGTGAACCCTTGTAGGCGAAATATACTTGAGGAAGAGGTTGCACACCAAGCCACAAAGTAAGGAGGACTGGAAAGTGAAACGTGAGGATGATATTGGGAACGAAGAAATCGTTGCTCCCGTGGGGGAAAGGGAACCAGAATGCGATGTATTGGCTACCATTCCCATCCATGCGCACTCAACTCACGGAAGTGGGTGGTGGCAAGACCACGAATCAAGACCTAGAACAATGTCAGGTTTCGAATCTCCCGCGGGGGGCCCGGTTAACCCCCCTATTGGCCCGGCCCGGCTCGGACTGGTCCGCCAAGTCCCCCTCGTTTTTTTCCTTTTCTGACTGTATTCATTTGCAGAGCGGGACCCTGATAGCGAGCCCAGCGGGGCGTATGCTGGGCTTCTAGAAGGAGACCGCCATCGTCGAACCCGTTGAATCCGCATAGTGTGTCGGACACATTGTGGGAAAATGTGGCACCCCCTGGAAAATGCCGATAGGTTCGGCGATAGGGCTGATGGTTATGTTACCGATCCCCCCCCCCGGACCCGGGTCAGGAAAAAGGTCCCCCCTATTTCCGCTTGGTCCGGATTCGTACTCTACGGTTTCGTTACTCGCAACGTATTGGTAGACGCGCAGGTGGTGTGGATCGAGAGTGGATACAAGTCGCGTTCTCAGTGACGTTCCCGGTTTTGTTCGCAGACCTAATTCCAAACTATGAAGATCGAAATTAGGGGGCAGGAATGGGAACTACTCTTGGTAAGTGTAATTTTTTGGGGGGGGGTAAAGTCGTTTTTTTCACATATGATTGAGAAAAAGTATTAGATCAATATTAAAATGTAGAATTCTTTGTAGTTTTGATGTGATGGCATTAAAAGTGGTACACATGTTTACGGTCAAGCCATCTTTATGTATTTGTTTTCAAGATTTTGAGAAATTGTGTTGGTTATGTTCAAAGGATTTAGATAAGATATTTATTTATTTATTTATTTCATTATTGCAAAAATCAATGAACTGGTTATAGTGTCATTTTAGAATTCAAACAAATATTGCACAAGATTTTTGAATAAAGCATTTGTGATTTTGAAGTCGTTCTGGTTATGTTTTCATCCAAATTTCAAGTGTGTATGTATGCATGTATGTATTCGTATCTATCTATCTATCTATCTATATATATATATATATATATCCTTAGTTTAGCTACTACATAAAATAAATTAAACAACTAAAAAACTCAATTGCAATTGGTTTTTAGAGAATATAATATTAGAAAATACAAATAATAAATTCGATTTATTCTTTTTTATTACTAGAATTTGTAGATAACATACTCTGTTCAGTTTTTAAAGTACTTTGCAACTTCTAATTCAAAGAAGATGCTAGCATGTCATCAATTTAAATGTTATTGCTGCAGTATTTCTTAACCATTTTTATCACTTTTTATTTTGCGTGAATATATATATATATATATATATATATATATATATAAATGTATACATATAAGCCCTTTTTTTGTGTAGTATTGATGTTTGTATCTTGTATCATATATATACATATATATATATATATACATACATATGGATACTGAGTGTATATATGTCTTTCTAAATTACATATTAATAGTATGAAAATGAAATTTCATTAAATAAATAGTCAAATTTAGAAATATATGCATCATATGTACATAAATATATATATATATATATATATATACATACATATATCTACACAAATAATACACATAAATATATATAGATGGATACTCACATGTTATAATTTCCATGAGTAGTTGTAGTAACTTTTCAGTAACTAGAATTATAAAATTAAAAAAAAAATATTAAATTTTTCTTTGCATCGAAAATATTGAGTTGAATTTTTATTTTTTATGAATGGTAGATCTTATGTTATATATGTTTATATGTATATACATATTATTTTTTAATGTGTTAAAGTTACTTTTACACTATTCAAAATTAATCCATATTCTTATAAAATAAAATTTAGAAAAATGTATTTAAAAAACCACAATCTTTTATCAATACTATTATGAAGGTCTAAAGTTTAACATCCATTAGCATCTATATACATATACTTATTGTCTAATCAATATTTCAATGTTTTTTTTTTTTTTTTTTTTTTTTCCAAATAAGATATTGCAATTTTCTAATAGATCTAAGTAGATTGTAAAAAAGAAAAAATCATGATTTTATTATTTTAAACAATTTTTAAATAAAATATTCTATTAAATTGTTTAACAACACTTTGTGGTATTCATATCTTATTATTCATTATTGCATACTTCAGTTTAATAATTTTGTAATCAATTTCTGATAATGGTGACAAGACAACATTATGTCAATTTTGTCTATAGCATCTATTGTTGAATAGAAATAAAAAGCACTTTTTTGTAAGCACTTTTTCGTAGTAGTACATTAATTTAGGAAGACCTATTTTATTGACTCACAAGTATGTGGAAGTTTGGTGGTAAGGTTTCAAACTAGCCAACCTACTGAAAGATTTTTTGGGTACCTTGTGATGAGTCTTTGAGGTGACACAAAGCTATTCTTCAACCTATTGTAATATTTGAAAAGCCACGCATACAATAAATGTTATTTCTTATATAATCATAATCATTTTTAAAAAGTAGAAAAAATAAAATTACGGTGATATTTGAGTTTGAAATTATAGTCGTAAGCTGAAGAGGAAAGAGAAAAATTAAAGCCTCAAAGTTTCAGTATGGGTATAGCAGTTGGGGCTACGTGGCTCGTCCCCCAATCGTTGCTTAAACCAACACGTACATATACGACATACGATACAAATGAGTACATGATGGATGAATACGTGAACCGTACACGTTTACATCCACGTGTGTGCACGTACCCATCGTGTCTTAATGTGGGAGGACAAATGGGATCGTTCGAAAGAAGCGTGGTGGATAATTTTGCTTTTCCGAAGGCAGGTGAGAGCTTCATGACTCCAGCGATTGGGAGCTTGGGGAACTCTACAAGGTTCCCAAGTAGTTCAGGAGGACAAGAGTTGACGGGAGAAACTGAGCGATGCTGTTAGAGAGGCTGACTATGTCTCTTGACGGCATTTAGCGGCTTTTGGCGGCAGTAGAAGCTTCTAGCACCTAACTCGTTCGAACTTGGGGAGCCATTTGTTCTTAGTCGGAGGCTTTGCAATTAGTTTGGTCAACTAGAAGAAGCTTCTGTTAGCACGCTGAAGACGAAAACGTGGGTTGTCGAAACAACTGGTAGTGATGCAACTGTTACCCATAAGAATCGAGAAAGAAAGTAGTTGCTATTATTGAAGGGTTGAGTAATCAAATTGAATGTATGAGTACGTACATTAATCTCATGGTTTGAATCACACCCTGACATTCGGATGCCAGAGTTTTGGATTGTACAATACGAATCTTAACATGGGAATTCTCTCATATTTTAATTTGTGCACAATTTCGACGGAGATTTCATGTTTGTTAAGAATAGTCATGTTTCATAATCGAATTTTTGTCACTGTTTCAAAGAACCTTCCAAGGTTGATGAAAAGATCCTAACTCATGGAAAGTAACAACAAAATGATTTTTCTACAACATTACTCACTCTCGCCCTGTTCTACCTATTATTAGATGAAAACTCTAGCATAGTAACTAAAACGAACCTTCAAATCTTAATAAGCATATATGCTCGTTTCTCTCTCTCTCTCTATTTATATATATATATATATATATATATGTGCCAGGGGCATGTTTCAGGGCTTTTGATACAATTGAGCACTCTTCTTTTTTCTGTATCCAAAATTGTTATAAGGATCCCGATTGTAAAATCCCAACCATGCTTGACAGAAACTTGCTTGGGGTTTACACTCCTGCAGTTTCCCCCCAAAAAATAATTGCAATAATGGTGTTACTCAAGTAAATCTTCTTATGCCCCGAACAATGTGGTCTGGATCATAAATCAACTCTTTAATGAATTGCAAATCAGTAACTATATTGTGAACTTATTCTACAAAGTATCCAATTGTCATCTCTGATATGCTAATTTTCGACTATTCATTGTTCAACAACCAGGCAGTTCGAATGTGCAAGTATTGTCTGCATGACGTTGAGGGTCCTCAGCATGACGCCAGCGTTCTCAGAAGATTTCTGAGATGGTGCGAACTAGATCGAAGTGTCAAATTGTGGCAGAAGCATGAGCCTAAGTGGAATGAAAGATCTATATTTTGAGTGTGCGAGTGTAAACAGAGTTCGAATCACTTCCGCAAGAAAATACGGGAACCCCAGTCAAACAGATTCCATGATACCTCAAATACTGTGAAAGGTGGACAATGTGTCCGAACGGGAAGCTCAAATTATCTTTGGATGAATGACCGACCCCAACCGACGCAGCCTTGTCATTCTTGTCCGTTAAAATAAGGAACCAGCCAAATTACAGATATGAAAATAAAGCTTGTCCAAGTCTTGAATACTTGGCATATCTGATACCGTCACCAGCCATACTTTGGAACTGTATCTTCGACCGCATTCACATCTCGCCGTAGGGTGTGGGATGGATGAATCTTGCTGCACCTTATTCCTGCTTCTAGAAGCTCTCGCAATTGGCCGCTCGCCCTGGGAGGGGGAGGGGGTGTTGTGGTGAATAGCCCGATGCTCCTCTATCGGTCTTTCTGTCTGTCTTTATGCTTTAACGAGCGTCAATGTGACGACGAGCATTCTGGCTCTCTTGCAGTACGGCAGTCGGGTTTTCGGGTTTTCGTCTTGATTCCTTAACGATTGGGGCCACACAGCGTGGCCATAGAAGCTTCTAACGTGGAAGGCTAGGCAGTCAGTCTTGTAGCCGTGGCTGTCCCGCCAGTGGGAAGCTTCCGGTCATAGTTTGGAAAAGTTGGGGAAATCCCGGGGCGTCGCCCCCATCTCTGGTACGCACAAAAGGCCAATCTGCCCGCACTATATTCTACAGTAATCGCTTGTTGACTCATATCCAGGACATGAGTCCAACCCAGTCACCCAATCGACCTATCCCCAGTCAATAAGAGAGCTGCACAATGGACTTAGCAGCCGGAGTCTCTCACAGGACGTACTGCCTTTGTCTCAAACGGCTGCTCACTGCGGAGAATGGACGAGAGGTAGAATGGGGAGAGAAGACGCAGTGAGGGCCTGATTAGCGGCATTGAGGTCCAATATTGTGCTGCGGAACTGTCGTCAGAAGTCAGACAGGCGCTGTGCCTGTCCGGCCAGAGCCGCATTTGAAAGGATTTAGAGCAAGTAGCATAATCATGGGAATAGACAGTGTACTACTTCGTTAGATTGGAGTATCGGTCAATTTCCATGCTTAGTTTGGTGCCATTGACGATTAGATCATGGAGCTGAAGCAGTGGAGGAGTCGAATGAGGGCGAGGAACTTCGAGCGAGTGTGGTAGTGTAGCGGTGGATCGTCAACGCTTCGGCTGAATCGAGTGTGCATGGTGTAGTGTGACGGAGGAGAAGAAGAGACGACGGGAGGGAGGAAGACGTTTGGTGGAGTAAGGTGCGTCTGGTGAGGTAGAACAATTTTTTCAGGTCAACTTGGCGAGGAAATGTCATCTTGGTGAGGAAATATCATCTTGGTGAGGAAATATCCCTTGGTTTAGAGACATTTGTGGCCTTGGAAGTGAGTGCGGGGAGACAAGATGGCGTCGGAGAAGGCGGATGGGCTGGATGGCCGCCATCTCTCACAGAGCGGCAGCCGGAGGCTGTCAATGTCCCAAAGCGTGGGCAACAACATTCGCAGCTTGAGTTCCAACGTGCGGGGGAACTGGGGACTAATGGGCATGATCGACAACCCGCTGGAACGAGCGACCGCTTCGCATCGCGATGAGAGCATGGATGATGAGGAGGCGCTCAAGTGGGCAGCCGTGGAGCGGCTCCCTACCTACGACCGCGTGCGCACGAGCGTCTTCCACAAAGCCTCCGGGAGTGTGAAGCAGGTAGACGTGCGCGAGTTAACCCCGTTGGAGACCCAGGAGCTGCTTAACAAACTCATGGCTGAAGCGCAGGACGAGAGCAACATGCTTTTGGTCAAATTGCGCCAGCGCCTTGACAAGTAATAGTCTGTTGACTCGTCCGATTTTTTTTGCTGATACAAACAGCGCTACTGTGTGCGTGCGTGTGTGTGCGTGTGTGTGTGAGTTTTCTGATTTTTTTTGATTTTTTTGACTATTTATTTGTTAGTTTGTTTTGAAATTTTTCATGGGGATGCTCCTCTGATGCTAATTAAATGATCTAGCCACGTCTACTCATCGTTTGGTGTCCACCTAAATATTTATGCGTGGATCTCGTGAATTTTGAGAAAGACGATGATTTCTTCGAGAAATACCTGAAGTTTTTCAGAGATTGAGCTGTTTTGCAAAGTGATTTGCAGCAGCGCAATGACTGATTGAGACACTTCTGAACCTTCCGTTTGCACTCTGCCTATATTTTTGAAGTCGGGGCTTTAGCAGCAAGGTTTTAAGATTTGGACCTCATGTCGAATATGCGCTTGCAGAGTTGGAATTGATCTGCCTACAATCGAAGTACGCTATGAAAACCTCTCAATCGAGGCGGATTGCTACGTTGGAAACCGCGCCCTACCATCCCTATGGAATACTGCCCGGAATTTTCTCGAGGTACTGTCTTAGTTACTGTAACCGATGTGTTGCTGTGTCTGTTGCGTTTTTCTTTTTCTTTTTTTTATTTCCTCTTTTATTGTTATTTTTTTTGTAAATTTTAATTATTTATAAAGCGGACAAACCACTATACGAAAACCAACACGAAATATTAACTAGAAACATGTGTTTCAGTTGCTCAACAAAATTGAGTGGAAATCGTACCTCGAGTCGCCGACTTTGTTAGGGTAACCTGTGTCCATGGTGTATTCACTGTACTGAGTTTCTCATTGCAGTCTGTCCTGGATACGTTACACCTCTCGATGACTAAGAAAGCAAAACTGTCCATCCTGGAGAATGTCAATGGTGTGGTCAAGCCCGGCAGGTACCACAATTTTAGAAGCAATTCGAGTTTAGATTGATATGAAAATGCTACTAAATTCACATGCAACTTAGATTGGCAGCACAGGATTCATTAAGCAAACTTTGTTCATGATGGTGCCCAGGATGACTCTGCTACTTGGCCCACCCGGCTCTGGCAAGACGACGCTTCTCTTGGCACTAGCAGGAAGGCTACCCAAAAGCTTGCGTGTTCAGGGAAAGGTGACGCTTAATGGCCACACCCATGACGAGTTTGTGCCGCAGCGGACAGCAGCATACATCAGTCAGAGTGACCTTCATGTAGGTGAAATGACTGTTCGCGAAACGTTAGCTTTCTCTGCCAAATGCCAGGGTATTGGCACCCGATACGGTGAGTTTGGGAGATTTTTTATTTATTTATTTTATTTTATTTTTCTCGTGCAGAAATTCCACGAGGGTAATCAAGATGCTCGTGCTTTTCTAACGTTGCGCAGTTCATTGCAATCACGTTTCTCAGGGTTTTGCACTAATTTCCGGTCGTGAACATTTATAACAGAGCTTTTGGAGGAGGTCACTCGAAGGGAGAAGGAGGCTGGAATCTATCCTGAAGCAGACGTAGATGCGTATATGAAGGTCGGCGACTTGGCTAACCTACTCTGGTCTTGTTTTCGATCATGTCATTCCTTGTAAATTGAGTTTGATTTAGTACCTTCAGACAAAAAATATAACAGGCACTTGTAAGAATCCATGTATTTAATTCTTCAATCACCTAACTTGATGAATGTGTGTACCGACGCAGATGTCAGCACTTCAAGGGCATCAACACAACGTTGGGGTGGATTACACGTTGCGGGTAAGTCTACTTGTAGCTCTACATTTCTCGTTTTATTCTACTTTCAGGGCACTTTACGTGTATCAGCTTGACATTCTTTTGCGAGTTAGATCTTTGTTCACGTAGAATTTGTCTGTGCAGATGTTGGGACTGGATGTGTGCGCGGACATATTAGTGGGAGATGATATGCGGCGAGGGATTTCAGGTGGTCAGAAGAAGCGGGTGACGACAGGTGAGATGATTGTAGGGCCATGCACAGCGCTCTTCATGGACGAGATCTCAACAGGGCTTGACAGCTCCACGACATTCAGCATCGTGAGAACTTTGGGCCAATTCACCCGCACCTTGGACAGCACGGTGGTGATCTCGCTCCTCCAGCCGGCGCCCGAAACCTTCGAACTCTTCGATGACATTATTCTTCTGTCCGAGGGCCAGTGCGTGTATCACGGACCTCGTGAGCACGTGATGGAGTTCTTTGAGTCTTGTGGTTTTAAGTGCCCGGAGCGCAAGGGCATTGCCGATTTCTTACAAGAGGTGACCTCTCCTAAAGACCAAGAACAGTACTGGGCCGACACGCATCGTCCCTATCGCTACATTTCAGTACGCGAATTTGCGGAACTGTTTAAGAGCTTTCATGTCGGCGCCTCAATGATGCAGGAGCTCTCTGTTCCATTTCCGAAAGAGAAAAGCCATCGCGCTGCATTGGCTCAAAAAAAATACGCAGTGAATAGAAAGGAGCTTTTCAAGACGAACTTCAACAAGGAGCTTCTCCTATTCAAACGAAACTCCATCATTACCATTTTCAAAACCATGCAGGTGGTAGTGGCAGCTTTCATCTCCATGACCGTATTTTTTCGCACGAGATTAGATCACGAGACTATCGACGATGCCTCGATATACTTGAGCGCGGCATTTTATGCAATAGTGTCCATTATGTTCGGTGGTTTCGGGGAGCTCGCCATGACGATTGCTCGTCTCCCAGTGATCATCAAGCAACGTGATCTTCTCTTCTTCCCAGCTTGGTCTTATTCCCTCTCGGCCTTTGTGCTGAGCATTCCTGGCTCAGTAATTGAGTCCGTTGTTTGGGTGAGCATGTCATACTACGTGACAGGCTACTCGCCTGAAGTCAGCCGATTCTTTAAGCAGATGCTGCTGCTCTTCATGGTGGAGCAAATGGCTGGTGGGATGTTTCGATTCATTGCTGGCCTGTGCCGAACCATGATCCTGGCCAACACGCTGGGTTTTGTCATCATTCTCATCGTCTTTATGTGCGGTGGCTTCCTCATCCGGCGCCCGGATATACCCGATTGGTGGATCTGGGCCTACTGGATTTCTCCTATGACTTATGCTGAGCAGGCAATCAGTGTCAATGAGCTTCTGGGAGATCGCTGGCAACATGTAAGGATTCTTCCTTGAACCCATCCCCTCTGACTAATTCTATTGCACAACCTAACTCCAATTTTGCAAATGCTAAACACCTTATTTATGTTTTGCAATTGCAGCCAAACCCCGGCTCGAACCAGACTGTGGGAGTGGCTGCTCTGATAGCTCGTGGCCAGTATCCGTATGATTACTGGTATTGGCTTGGACTTGGCGCGCTTCTGGGTTTGACGATCCTCTACAACGTGGGCTTTACCTTCGCGCTTGGTTACATGCCTGGTAATCTATCACCCATCTTAACTAAATTTTTTAGTCTTACGTATGATATGTTACCTGATTGGATTGCGATGCTGTCTGCTCCGAATGGTTGATGAAGTAGACTGATGAGAACTAGTCAATATGGCCACGACAATCAGCTGTTGGAGCGCCGCAAGCTATCATGTCGGAGGAGGATCTCCAAATGAAGGAAGCAGCTAAATTGGGAGGCTCTATGGATTTTGCATCTTCCCGAAAACATCGCTCCACTTCACGAAGAGCTACGGTGCGTTCAAAGAAAACGTCCTCGAGGATGGAAGTGCAGCTCAGCAGAAGCCGTCGGTCTAGTAATAGCGATAGAAACCTCGTTGTGCCGAAGGAGCAGAAAGGCATGATCCTTCCTTTTGAGCCCTTGTCCATCTCTTTTGACGAAATCAGTTACTTCGTCGACATGCCCCCTGAAATGAAGAACGAAGGGATGACAGAGACGAGGTTGAAGCTGCTCAACAACATCACAGGGTCCTTCAGACCTGGAGTTCTGACAGCCTTGGTGGGTGTAAGTGGAGCGGGGAAGACGACTCTCATGGACGTCTTGGCAGGACGGAAAACGGGAGGGTACATCGAAGGCGATATTAGAATCTCTGGTTATCCCAAAGTGCAGGCTACATTTGCAAGAATCGCAGGCTACTGCGAGCAAAATGACATCCATTCCCCTCAACTCGACGTGCGAGAGTCACTCGTTTACTCCGCCTGGCTTCGTCTCTCCCCCGATATCTCGGATGACGACAAGGTAAAGTTTGTGGACCAAGTGATGGAGCTTGTGGAACTGAACCCCATAGAGCACGCATTGGTGGGGTTACCTGGAATTTCCGGGTTGTCCACGGAGCAAAGAAAGCGTCTCACCATTGCAGTGGAGCTGGTCGCAAACCCTTCAATTATTTTCATGGATGAGCCTACCAGTGGTCTTGACGCACGCGCGGCTGCTATTGTGATGCGCACTGTGCGTAACACGGTGGACACAGGCAGGACTGTTGTGTGCACCATCCATCAACCTAGCATTGACATCTTCGAAGCTTTTGATGAGGTTAAGGCACTCGACGAATCATCTAATTGTTTGGAATCATGGGATCTCTCTTACGTGCTAGTGCCCGATCAGATTGGCATGCACTTCAACTAACCTGCAAGCCTGCCTATATGTACTGCAGTTGCTGCTTCTGAAGCGTGGAGGACGAGTGATTTATAATGGACCATTGGGACACAATTCTGACAAGCTTATCGAGTATTTCCAGGTATGTCAATTGTGTGGTGAAACATCTTTAGATTGCGCATTATAGGTGCACTTTTGTCACATTTTTTATGGTCATTTTGCAATATGTTGGTTAGAGATTAATGAAACTTGGTCATTATTTGCTGGACAGTCGATGCCTGGAGTTGCTAAAATCAAGGAGGGTTATAATCCTGCGACATGGATGTTAGAAGTGACCAACAGCAGCGTTGAAAACCAACTTGGGGTGGACTTTGCCGATCTTTACCTGAAATCGGACCTTTACCGGTCAGATTCCACTTTAAATCATTGCAGACACACTCTGCCACCCTTTCTGTCAATTGTATGAGGGAGGATATGAAGTTGTAGTCCAGTGACTGATGTGGAATCCGGTGGGTTGGCAGGCGTAACAAGCAGATGGTGGAGGACCTCAAAACTCCACGACCAGGCTCGGAAGATTTGTTTTTCGATACACAGTACTCTCAAAATTACTTCAACCAGCTCAAAACCGTCTTGTGGAAGCAGTTTATTACATATTGGCGTAGCCCCGATTATAACCTTGTGCGATTCATCTTCACGCTGTTGATATCGTTGATTTTGGGCAGTCTGTTCTGGCAAATCGGATCGAAGAGGTAGAATTCCTTTTCACATTAGAAATTCTAGACTGTGTAACTCCTGCGTAAAGCTCCTTAGCCCGTGCATTCGTCGTCTTTATGTTAGAAATTGACCTGAGCATTTTAACGATGTCCTAACATCTTGGGACACTGATTTGAATCTGCAGAGACAGTGCATCCGATGTGATTACCATACTGGGTGCACTATACGGCTCTACGATCTTCTTGTGCTTCAACAATTGTGGTGCCGTGCAGCCAGTAGTTAGCATTGAGCGGACCGTGTTTTACCGAGAGAAAGCGGCGGGAATGTACGCTGCCATGCCTTATGCCTTGGCCCAGGTCAGCCCTCGATCTAAAACTCGGTTTTTCATTCATTTGTAGGCACTTCCCATTGTTGAACTCGATTTAATGCTAACGTCTGAAAATATGTTTTTCTTTGGTGCTAATTGGATGAATGCTTTGATTTTTGCACGCAGGTTATTGTGGAAATCCCCTACGTGCTGATGCAAGTGATAATATATGCATCCATTACTTACGCCATGATCGGGTTTGAATGGACTGCTGCCAAGTTCTTCTGGTATCTCTATATTCTCTTCTTCGGCGTGATTGCCTTCACATTCTACGGCATGATGATGGTGGCGCTCACTCCCAACGCTCAGCTCGCCACCATATGCGCCTCCTTCTTTTACGCTCTCTTCAATCTCTTCTCCGGTTTCTTGATTGTCAAACCCAAAATTCCCCCGTGGTGGATTTGGTACTACTGGATTTGCCCCGTTTCCTGGATCATTAACGGTCTTGTGAATTCACAGTTCGGTGATGTGACCACCATGATGACCAGTACCGATGGAACACGCGTAGCAGTGAACAAATACATCGAGGATAACTTTGGATTCGAGAAGAGCTTTCTCAAGTACACGGCCATTGGGCTGCTAGGATGGGCTGTTATATTCGCCGGGATCTTTGTGCTTGCCATTAGGTACCTCAACTTCCAACGTCGTTGAGAAATCCCCACAAGGAGGTGGAGAGGAAGAATTCATTTGAGAACCAATCACTGGATTGGCTTTCCGACAATTCACATGATTTTTTCAATACTTGGCCAGGACATGCAAAGAAGGCTCACACTGGGTCTGCAACTAGACTAGCACTTTTTTCCCTTCACCTCACTTTAGATCTCTGCAGTTTTTGTTGTCTTTGCGTTGATAGCAGTGCACTCGAAGTGCTCAGATAGAGAGTAGAGCAGCTGCAACAGAGATTACAATGTGTACATAATTGATTTGCAGCAGTTTCTGTATTCCTCTGCTTGCAGGTGAGCTGTATTCAGAATTCTAGAGCAATGATATTTTGTTTGACACCATTTGCTTGTTAAAAGAGTGGGGCATTGCCGACTAGATTGAGAAGCTCCATGAATGTGCTTCATTTACGAGTTGGCTTCATCGCAAACCGCCGAATTTGTTGATCCGTGAAGATGGGTTCTATAGATGAATAGTATAGAAGTGTCAACCTATTTCAGCACTTTGTGATGGTCCTAAATGACCTCGTCCTCTTCGATACTGACAAAAGAATTAAAACAGAAAAGAATGTGAACAATATCACACTTTTCTGCAGCAAGATTTTCTACTACACGGTGTTGGGTGCCAAATGTAGGGCTTGGTGTTAGGTGCGTTGTCGGTGATCAGACTGTCTCTTTATGCACCAACTCCTTTACATTATTATTATTATTATTGTTTAACTAGTTAGGTGGATGCATTAATAGTGATTTTTCACCATGATGTTGGTTTGAAGATAGTGTAAAAACTATAGTGGATTTAAGTATTGGGGGTTTGAAGATACTTAAATCCACTATAATTTTTAAAGTATTGGGATGAGTAAAGTTATATATTGATATTGGAATTATTATATTTAGAAAATTATTCATCCTACATCCCTAATTGATATTGCTACATCCCACATGACCTCCTTGTATACAACTAGTTAATAGTATACCTCTTCCTTTTGTGCATTTTTCTCTTTCTTTGAATCGAGAAAGCGTGGTGGTTGAGAAGAAGATAGTGCATATTGTATGATAAAACAGGTTGTGAGCTGTTTTATTTATTTATTTTTTAAAAAATCAATATATTTGTCTCATTTTTTTTTTTTTTTTTTTTTTTTTTTTTTGCTACTGATTTTTATTTTTATTCTATTTTTTTAATCAATACTAAAATTAAATATTGGGTTGCCAAAAGCATCTTAAGCATAGAAGCATGCTTTTTAGTCAATTTCAATCATGTGGAGGTCACTTGAGGTGTAGCAATATCAATTTTTGATTCATATATTTTGTTTTTTGAATTTTACTTTAAAACTTGTTTTTTCATAAAATATTCATTGTCTCCCTCTCAACCATCATGCTTTTTTTGCTTTAAGAAAGCAAAGAAATAGAAAAATACGCAAAAGAAAGAGGTATATTATTAGCCAGTTGTTTTTGAAGAGGTCATGTGGGATGTAGCAACATCAATTGGAGATGTAGTAGTAATAAATTTTTACATTTATTGTGTTTTTTTTTAATTTAATTAATTTAAATTGCATTCCCAAAAAATTACATTGGATTATCTGAATTTCAATAGACTTTTGTTTATCTATTAGATTGGATTTTAATACACTTTAGTGTCATTACTTAGATTTGTCACTTTTACATTCTTTTGTTATTGGCTTTTTAAGGACTTTAAAAAAAAAAAAAAAAATGTGAATTTTTTTATGAGATAATTATGTATGTGTTTATATGTGTGTTTTTTTATTATACTTTCTTTTTCTTTTTCTTAATAACATCTAAAATTTTAAAATCAACTTATATTAAATTTGTAATTTTGAGTAGTTTATAAGTATTCTTTTTGTGTTAATATTTTTTTATATTCAAAATCTAAAAATATACTTGAAAAAATTAAAATAATTTTTTTTTTATAATAATCATATTTAAAAAAATAAATGGGTAATTTAAGGATTTTAAATAATTGGTTGGAAAACTATAGTACTAAATAAAAATAATGAAAATTAAAATCAGAATATTTAAGTAATTTTACAATGTATTTTTTTATATCAAGCACACAACCTACAATTTTGAAAAAAAAATTCAATAGTTTGTTTAAAGCATTAAGTTTTTTGAAAATGCATTAAAAGTAAAAAAGTGTTGAATTTTTTGTGTAGAACTACAAGAATTTTCACTTGTAATAATATAAAGGACATATAAGAATAATTAATAAAATTAAAAATACTTTCAATTCAACCATTGTAAATATTTTTACTTATAAATATTATTAATTAGGTTAAAATATACATATAAATATATATATATATATATATATATATATATATATGAATTCTGATATATTTTTTAGTAGACCGAAAAGAAACCTTTCTTAAAGGAGTGTTTTTATAAAAATTAGAAGAGATTTAAAATTCTGCACAATCCTACTAGAATTTGAAAGGAAAAATATTATGATTAATAGGATAGTAATAATTATATAAAGCCAATTGTATATATATATATTTAATTAATGATGTATTATCTTATTCTAATGAATATCATGAGATGAATATAAATAAATATATATATATATATATATATAGAAGCCTCTATATATATGATGTAGAATTGTAAATATTTAAATAAGAAGCACCTTATTATATATATATATATATATATATATATATATATATACAATTTAAATAAATATTATTTATTTTTAAGCATTTGAAGTAATTTTTTTTATACAAATAATGGATAAAAAAATCAAATATATAAATACTACACAAGATGGATCAACTTTATTTTAATAAAAAAACTAAAAATTGAAATTAAAAAAAGTTTAATACTTCAATCTACAAACTTCAACAAACCACTTAACACATAAGTGATGATATTTACATAAAGCATACATCAAACATGCAATTTATGTTGGACAAAATTTTATATAAAATATATATATTTTTTTGATTTATTGCTAGTATGGTGCTTAACCACATAATATGTATATATTAATGTCCTTGCAAAAAAATTAAAGCTTAAAGTTTTAAACAATTCCAAAATTTTCACCCATTACTTTGGTTATCTTAAAGAAATTAAAATATGTCTTTGCAAGCATTCAACCTTATCTTAATTTTCTAACATTGCAAAGAAATGTTAGTAGCTTGTACTTGCAAGCATTCAACTTTATTTTATATCTTCTTGAAAATAATTACAATAAGACTCTATAGATGGATCTTACAATAAATATTCTCAATGTATTATTTATGAGGAGTTGATCTTTCACATTGTTTTACAATCTTTCAAAAGGCTTAGTATTCATCACTTCTTGTCACAGTCATATATTCCAAAGCCAAAAGAAGCTAACCTATTTTTCTTCTAGTATCAACAAAATCTAATTAATAATAGTTTTCAACATTTATTGCTAAGAAAAAAGCTTATTTGGTGAACAACATAAAAACCCTCAAGAAACATAATTTTTTAAAGAATTCAAGCAAAATTGTGATAGTATTGTAATAACCTTTAAAAGCAAAGTGAAGAGCAAAGCATAACATAAAAACGCATGAATAACATAACAAAACATGAGGCTTAGCCTAAATCAATGCAATAAAGGGATTCAATATTGGCCTTTTTGGGTGATATTTCATGTATGATGAGATCTCAAAGTATTACTTGATACTTTACTAAATCACTCACCTTACAAGATGGGTGATTTTGAAGTCCAAATATCAAAAGATGAATGGGTGAAATATCAAAAACTGTGTCACATGCCTTAACTCTCTTCCTTCTTTGACTCCATACCAAATCACTCTTTGACTTTTCCAAATCACCAAAATATCAAGTGATACTTCAAAAACTTGAAGATGGTAATAAAGTTTGAATGGTGATATTTTGAATTTGATATTTTGAGTGATCCTAGAAATATCAAGTGCTGAATCCAGTTGGTTTTGCAAAAGTGCAAAATCTAAATCCCCTTAATGGAGTAACACCAAATATTTCATAGAACCAACACCCCTATTCTCTTTATTTCTTTGACGCCCACTAGTTTGGTAGATCATGAAGTTGGACACCAGACGCTCAAGGTTCCAGCAATCAATGTTTGTGGAACCCTAAATTTGCTGCAGTACAAAGTTTGGACTAGCTACAGCAAATGCACCCCCCCATACGAGGTGCTGCATGGATGAAAAAATGAAGCCTAAGCTCATTCATTTGACGAGCCCAAGTAAGTCCGAATTTCTTTTAAAAGCTGCCAGTTTGCTTCGTAAGAAGCTTCACTCAGCAGCAAAGACTTGTCCATCTTCATCTCCTCCTGACTGTTTTTTTTTTGACTCAGCACTTTCACGTCGTTGCCGGTAATCTACCGACTAGCCACAACCAGAATGCCAAGTCTCCCTGATGGACGTTGAATCCTAAGCACATGGAGAATCGGTTAATCACTTCTGAGTCCCTGTTGCTCCAGGGACAAGTCTCGTCTCGTAGAGGACCCACATCAGATGCGGTGTCTAATTGTTGGACAATTTGAGAGCACAATTTGAAGTTTTATCGAGACCCATGTGCTTTTCCTTGGTCAGCTCCAAGCCTCTTCTGGAACACGGATCGGTGCCTTTTATTACAAGTAATGTTAGTTGGAGGTGTTCGTGATTCAGGTTCACTATTAGACCGAGAAAAGTTGTGACTGTATTTTATCAGTGCAAAATAGTGCGTCACGCCATTGACTTGTAGGAAGGTGATTGTCTTGTGAAAGCGCACTTTCGGTGATTTCAGGAAGGAGAAATCAAGTAATATAAAAAACTGAATTATTCAGGGGAGCGAGGGAGGGATGGACAAAATAATAAATGTTATGTGAGGGAGCGAGTTGCTAGATTCAAAACTAATGAACAGGAAATTGCTCTATTTGGTTGCAGTGTTTCTGTTATAATTTGATCCCTTTCATACCTATTAAAGCACACGTGACTGAAATTCCCATCTCCTCAAAGCTTTTGATCAACCATTGCATACTCATAGACCGAAGCTCTGTCGCAAACGTGGCACGTGAAAATAACGCACTCTAAGGGATTGACACCCAAAGCTGATCACCGTTACAACATGGAGTTCAAGTCGAATAAAGTACACAAACGAGGAGGCTTAAGCAAACTCATGAAGGAGACAAATTCTTGATAAATTGAGAACGATAGATAGACTCAAAATCCTAAATCAGCCGACAGTACTGGACAAGTTCTAGCACCCTAGATAAACTGTGAGGCTATACACAATGTACACACAAAAATAAACGCCGTTTGGAAGGATCCGTTACATTCTGCCGAGTGTCAAGAGTTAGTGCTACTCAGAGTCGTCGTGTAATTCAAATTATAAGTTCAAAACCTCTGAGAACCGATTCCCACGTGCGGCAGATACTTGGTGTGCATCATCCAAGCGAGAGATCGTGAAGGTGCACTCTCACCGTGTAGAAATAATTGGGTGCTAGAGCAGGACGATTTGGAAGCTGTACGAAGGAACGCAGGCCATGCCTTCGATGCGTGAAAGAATTCTTCAGCCTGGAATGAAGCTGCAGTACCGTGAAGGTCTAGCAAGTCTACTGGCCCACAGATGAAGATAGAGCAGGTTGGGTCTATCGTCACAAATTTGGCTGACGTTCCAAAGAATATTGACCCACACACCAGTATTGATGAGGAATTCGTCACCTCTCAAGGTTGAGTGAGTAGATGGTTTGCAGTTCCATGGAGGTTTGGGAGCCGCCACAAGTGGGTGAGTTTCCGCGCTCTATGTCTTCATCGTCCACGACCTTGAACGGCGATGGAGAGTGGACTTCCGAGTGGTCGTCCCCAACCGCTAAATGTTGGTAAGTCATGCGGCGTTTCTCGAGAAGAGAGAGAAGGAAGAATAAAGCCCCCGTAAGTACCACCAGTGCTGCGAGGTGCCAGCTAAATTGCAGATTCGCTAATGCTTTCGCCTGATGAAGAGCATCATGGGTTGAACATTCCACAGTGGCGTGGTCCGGCGTGTGCACCATAGCGCAATCCTTCGGCAGTAACGATGGCGTCCACAGTACAAAACCCATCTGAATGAACCAGGTCCCTTGAAAGACAATCGACATGCTGCGAAAGATGGAGATCGCGGGGAGATTGCGGATTGAAATTTCCACCAAGAGAGTGAGGATTCCAACCATAATGGGCAACTGGAGAAGCAAGTGGAAGTGACCTTCTAGCCCCATGTGGTCGGACGAGTGGAAGTGGAAAAGAAGTAGCTCTTGGCTGAAAGCCACGGCGGCGAGGCCGTGCAACCATCCTTGCGGGACATGAAGGCGCGTCAAGTCCAGGACGAGAGCAGAAGCGGCGTAGATGAACATGAACAGTGAGATTGTGGAGTGCTCGAAGTTGTTGAGGTGGTTCGCAGGGATGGACCAATCGTCCGCCCATGGCTGATGCGCCGCAGGGCAGATGAAAAGCTCTGCTGCGATGGAGAGACAAGATCCGAGCATGATGAAATAAAGTTCAACGTGACGGAGGCGAGGATATTTGAGAGGAAACCAAGTTCGGGTTTTAAAATGCCATGGTGACCGCACGTGAGCCCCAATTGTGTTAAAGAGGTGCCACAACCCGAGCAAGAGGAAGCCTGCTCCAGGCAGGACGTGACCGATGAATGTCCCCATTTTTACAATCCAAAAATCTTCCTCCGGTCAATACCTCCTAACCAACCCGGCTGAAAGTACCCTGCACACATGGAGGAGGATTGTGAGCTCAAAGCAAACTTCATAGTTCCATTCGTGGAATTCTATGATACATGACAACACAGCCACCAAATTTCAGCTGAAGTGCCAGAATCCTCCCTCAACAAGGCGTCTTCTCAATGCAAATCTGTGCAACTGTGTTGGCTGCAGCATCCTATGTCTCATCAACCTTGTGGCACGTTGAATCTCGACAGTCTCGCTAAAAAAACATGACGGTTTGTGTGGATTCTAGTTCTGCTGAATGGAATCAATAGGCGGAGACGTCGAATACTGGTAATCGCTCAGAATACAATTGAGGAAGGAAGTTGGTTCATAAGTGTCGACCAATTGTTTGAGACTATCGAAGAGCTTTGGACTGATCAGTTGAGCCTCAAACTCATCCATGATTTTCCATAATTCATTAACAAGAAGCAGTTATATGTTAAAAGAATTATCATCGTTTGGGTATAGTGCGAGTGTACGAATTATGACTCTCAACAACTGTTCCTTGGCTCGACTAAAAACGACACAAGGCCAACGCGTATCCACAGTATAGATGTATTCGTTGAGAACAAGGTCGGGCTACCTAGCATGTACAAATTGACTCCCGAACATGAACACAATCAAACATCACTGAAGTCTGTCCTGCATCCTCAGTCAAGCAAACAGATAAGTGCACAGCCATGGCGCTGAAGCCATGCAATACCTGCAACTAGATGTGAGTAAGAGCTTTGGTTACGCTCTCAACGATCGCTTCTACACCGCCAAACAACGCAGCACATCTGGGATCGAGAATTTATGTATTCATCCCGGCACTCTACTCTCCGTGGCTCTAGAAAGTATTTTCTAGGTTTCCTTTTTTCTTGCTCGACAAGGCAAACCTTCCCTGCTCCGTGCTGCATCCTTCACCAGAGTCCAGAGCCAGATGAAACATGCACCGAAGGACCAGCTCACATGTCAACCAGCACCAGTTGATTCCTTGGCGATTTACTGCAAATTTACTGCAGCATTGAGAAAATATATGTATATATATATATATATATATATATATTTATATATATGTGCTCACACTACTCCAGTCTTAGATTGTCGTCATCTGAATGGAAACATCTAGAATCGGAATTTTGGACAAATTAACTGAGGAAGTCATAGCACCTCGCACTTACATGTAGCTGACAATATTTAGTAGGTTGCTAGTAGCCTCAAACTTGACAAATTTATGGAATTAATGATCCCCCAAATTCATAGCAACTGTGACTTTCCTAGTCCGTGTGAGTGGGATCAGCACCGGGTCCCATGGCGGTAGGTTTTGCAGCTTCTGCCGAAGCAAAACGTTTCACTCTAGTTGACATGCACTTTTTAACCCAAGAGCTGCTGCATGCGTAGTTATATCGAAGGACATGCCAACTTTATGGTTGCCACAGCCGTGAGATTACAGTGGCTGTGGCAGACAAATGCCATCCATCTGGACCCTGCAGGCGCGATAACATTGCAATGACGTCAGTCTTCACAGGGCGTGGCTTACGTTAATGAATTTTCTGCAGCAAACCACTTCCTGGGTTGGTGGGTCCACTGGGGAACATCTCTCGTGAGTCGCTTGCAGGAACTCTAACGAATCCGCGAGACCCTGGAATTACACTAGGAGATAGTCCATTGCGATGTTTACGCCCAGCCTTGAACATCGTCCACCAGAACATTCCAGAGTTTCTCCTGCACTTTCCTAAACATTTTTCTCATCCACAAATAGTCGATAGGACGCCACAATTGCAGTGCCAGGTCATCCCACGATGCCCACTCTCACCCTGAGAAATTCTCGTCTCGAAATATCCGCCCCAACAGGGTTTCATTCCGAATCCACCTCCACTGTAGTGGAATGCGGCAAGCGTCGCACCCGGGGAAACACCTTCCGCTTCTTGAGATTAGGAGGATCCCTTTTTTTTTATTCGTTCTTAAATTTGGGGTGGCGAGCAACAATTGCAGACTTAATGAAGGTTAAGAAATTGAACTCTCACACAACCATACGGGTAATTTCACACCTGTGCACGACACCGTTTTGGGACACACTAAGAAAAAGAAACTTGGATTTTAAATTCACATGAAACATACAACAAATATTCATCCTCCCTGGGTCCAGTCTGGAGTAATTAGTCCCTGGCCCGCATGGTTTTCCTTTGAGGCGACCATCCATGGAGAGAATCAGCCAAATCTGGCATACGAGCTTATCCAACGGTTCTCACACCCAGCTGAAGCGTACGTACAAAGTCCTACAGCGAATCCAAAGCCCTCAAAAAAGACCGCGGAACTCCAAGACACATTCTCCGAGACTGTAACTGAATAAGGCGTGCACAACATACATGAACTTGTGAGCCTGGGTCCCACGAATCTGCTCAGGCCGGTTCTTTACACTTTGACTGCTCCCAAAATTTTGAGCAATTTGCGTCACCTCCGAGCGATTCGTGAATCAGCGACGCCTTGGCCTTGTCTGGACGGAAAGAACCAGGATCCTGACAGACATGGGGTCCCTCGAAGCACCCAGGCTTCGTGAAGGGGTCTTTCCGCACGCGTGCAGTGAACTTGGCACGGCGACGAGGCTCCGAAGCTTCTTGTCATCTTTCTCTCCACTTTCTTTCCCTCCTTCTTGTCATCCTCAAGAAACACTCTGAGATTGGATGGATGGATGAATATCTGGTTGGAGGTGTGTGATGGGTTGATGGATGGGTGGACGAATGAATGAATGATAGTGATTCGGCAAGTAGTTCGTCAGTGTAGAATTCTGTGATCGTAAAAATAACTAAATGGAATCATTCCTCTTTTTATTGAGTAAATTTATCATTTATTATTTTTAAAAATATAAAAAATAAATATTTTTTTAGATGAATAAATTCTATTTCACACACAACACTTTTGATATTTATTTAGATTGAATTTAATTTTTTAGATATAATCATATTATTTTTTAATATAGAATCTCATAAAAAAGATGGTTTTACAACAGAAATCACAATCTAAATATAATTTCCTCAATTATAAATTATTAAATATTAAAAAAATTTATAATTAGATTACTTAAAACTAAGCAATATTTATGCCAAATCAATTTTTAAAAAATATTTGTAGATGTTTACAAACAAGAGTCATACAAGATCCACATACACAAATTTGGGATTAGAATTTCTATTTTTAATAACATCTTAACTTATTTGATACCTAACAAGAAAATAGACATTGCCACAAAATTTCTAACTCCCTATTAAAATTAAAAAATTAAGAATGTTGTGTTATTAACTTTTGTAGCTTAACAATATTATAAAAATTATGTCTATTTAATAATATTTTAAATTATATTATAATTTGAAAGTACATTTGCAAAAAAATCTATCCATAAAAGTATGTGAGGTGAAAATAGTATTTGATCTATATTATTCTTAAATAAATTTAACAAACAAAATAACATCAGCTTTGAGCTACAATTGGTGCTATGTTTTTATACTTGAAAAATGTATTTAAAAAATGTGTATTTAAATAATTTTTTAAATTCAAATAATTACTTATAAAAAATTATATTTTTATAATATAATCATGAGATCATAATATCATATACATATTATTAGTAAATTAATATACATACTTCAAAAAATACTTATAGTTTTAGTATTATGATCCTTTAAAATATATTAACATTACAATAAAATATTTCTAATATTACTCAGTCTATTAATTTCCTCATCTTATAAATTTGAACTAGTTTTGATATATGAACTTGTTACTCCAATTTTTTTATTTTTTTATTTTTTAAAACATTAGATTGAATCCAACAGTTATGTTTAAAGTAGTTCCTATTTGTTTTCAAAACATTAATTAGAATCACTCTAAGAACTAAAAATATTTGATTGTAAAAATTAATTTTGATATTTTATTATATTCTTATTGCTTATTTAATAGAAGTTTAAAGTTAAATTTTTAAATTCAATTTTTCTAAATTAGGATTATATTTATAATACTTTTAAAATAATTTAGTATTTTTATAGTTGTATTATTTTTTTTTAAAGATTTAAGACACAACTTGAAAATACACATTTTTGTTGATTCATAATTTTATTTAAATATTTATTTAAATATCTATTAAGTCTTATTGCAATATAATTTAATTTGGTAAAGCTTGAAAATTTTTCTCAACATATACAAACTTAACCTATTTTTGTAAGTAAATATATTTTGTAAACTACTATTTCTAAATAATTCAATTAAATAAGTTTACAAAAATAGGTTAAGTTTACTAAAATTAGATTTTAATTTCTAAATAATTCAATTGAATTATTTAGAAATTAAAATCTAATTTTAGTAAAAAAAATACTCTTTGTTTTAATAAATTTTTATATATGCATGGAATAATCAAACTGAAAATTTATTTACTTTTTTAAAAAAAATTAAACAATTTTGTTTTAAAGATCTATCATAATAAATTTTTTGATGTATTACTTAATATCTACTAGAATAAAACTATATCTTTCAAATGATTATATACATCTCTATATCCTCCAATCATATGAAATAATTAATTTAAAATAATTTTATAATATTAATAAATATGAAATAAGTTAATATTACTATAACTCAAAAATAAAATAAAAATGATTACAGGTTTTTTTATGATACTTAAAATTTAAAAATTAACAAAGAATTATATCTATCTATTTATTTATCTATCTATTTAGATACATAACATTGACAAACCAGTGAAGCTTTTGTAGAACTAAGCAGGACCATAGTCTAGTATTGATTCACATTAGCTATAAAGTCCTTTTTCATGAAGTTTTTAAAATTTTAAAGCTTAAAGTATAAGCTTTTTTTGTAAACATATGATGATTCAAACATAGTTTTAGATAATATTTTAAAGACAAAGTATTAGAAAAAAAAAACTTATTTTTAAAATATTGTTCAAAAGCATTTACAATTGTTACATTGCCTTCTAATAGAAAGTTTTGATATTTAAAAAATTTCTATAAATATTTAAGATCTTTTTACCAACTTCTATTATATACCAAGGAAAATAATAATAATAATAATAATAATAATAACACAAATATTAAATTTAAAATAGAAATACAAAACATAACTTTTACAGAAATATCTTAGATAAACAAAAGAAACAATTATTGAGAAGCTTATAAAATAATCTTTACTATATATATATATATATATATATATAGACAAACATTATTTTAAAATGTCTTGTAATACTATTGATACAATTATTATTTTACTGCAACATGTTAAATATTTTTAAGTGGCACATGATAAAAGTAGCAAGAAAATGACTTATGTAATATTCTTTCACAATAAAATACATATGCTTAGACAAATAGATTCTAATAGAATTATGTCGAACTTTTGGGCTATTAATACATCTTAGACATTAAAAAGATTAGTAATATTTTACTTTAAACAACGACAGATAGGAAGCAAAATTATTTATTAATTATTATAATAATACAACAAATATTTTAAAATATAATTTTTTTGACTTTGATTTTCTCAAAATAACTCGTTTTTTCTTATTCTCAAATATGTTTTAATGTTAAGTATTATAAAATCTTTTCTAAGATAATAATATAATATATCATTTAAATATTTTCTATTTTATATTTAAAGAAAATTAGTTTGTTGATAATATTATTAATTATTATTACTTAAAGTTTAAAAACTAATATTTTTATTAAAAATTATCTAATTATCTCTCTAAATTTTATTTATGGATTAAAAGATAAAAAAATTAGAAATCTATACAATTTTTTTTTTTAAAATTATGAAGTTCTTTGTATAATTTTAATTTAATTGATTAATTAAATGTCTTTTTGCTCTTGGTCGTTGTTCGAAACAGTCAAAGGTAAAAAGAATATTATTTTTTATTTTTTATTTTGTTACAATACGTCAAAA